TAATCCTAATAATATGATTAGGTAGTGTAGTTCCTCCAATAACTTTCAACAGGAAAGATACAGTATGGTGCAGGATGCTTTTGGATTTTCCCTTGCTCACCTCTCTCGTAGTTGCATCGTATTTCTCACTGGGCTTGCATTGAGAGTTCTAAGCCTAAACTGACTTTTAACAGAAAAAATGGGCACAGGGTGTGAAAGGGTCCATCATCGTCAGAAACCACTGGAAGTCTGATATATTAGTTTATCTGTTTCAAAACATTTTACAGTTGCATTTATTTAACACTCAGACTTTGATCTGTATTTCATTTCTGTGCTCTTTTCTTAAAGATGGTTATTGTGATGGCATGAGTACACAATTGCAGTGCTAGAAAATGCCAGCAAGGCTCTTGCAATGCAACAGATGGGTTTTACGTTTTTTAATTGGGCGCATCTACACGAAGGCTTTACAGCAGGGGCTCCCAGTTCCAGTCCTGGAGGGCCGCATTCCTGATTCTTTTATAGATGTCTTTAAATACGTTGCCCTTGAAGAGCTGGGAAAATCTGTTAAACTGCTCCAACTAAGTTGGTAATTAATTTGATTAGATCATTAAGAGTGGTGCTGGAATGAAAACCTGCAGGATTCTGCCACTCCTGGACTGAGTTCATAAACCCTTGCTACCAGGTTGTAACCACACAGCAAGCACATCCCGAGTACAGTGCTCACAATCCCTGGAGTATCACCTGCCTCTGAGCAAGCTCTTCATTCATTGGAACCACATGCACAGGGCAGCATAAGAGGACAATAAGTAAAACAGACAAAGAGACAATAGCACCAATTTACAGACACTTACAAGTCCTAGGGTCAGGGTTTCTGGGATTCTATAATAGGATAACCTTCCCAGTGTTCTCAGCTGCTGTTGTCACTGTCCCTGAACCATAGCTCTTAGTGATGGTTCTACAAGACCTTTGTGGAACACACTATTTGGCCTTTTTTGGAAACTTCTGATGAGCTAAGCACAAGCAGATTTCCTCTCCATCGTAAGAACATCATTTGCATCCTTTATCAAGAAGGCCAGCAAACAGTGGCTGGTAAGTAATAGGTCAGTAACAGCAAATGTTTAAATACTATCTTGTTTCATCATTGAACATAAAGCATAGCAGTAATGGGTGAATTAGACAGAACATTTTTCTTGACCTTTGTACATATAAACCAATAAAACAGAAACAAAGCTGCTTCGATTCGTGAGCATTAATAAAACTGCAGTTTATAAATAAAAAGGATCTATGAAACCCTTTGACCAACCCCAAAGCTAGTCCCAATGTGTGCATTTGGCAAAACTAGTAGGATAAAGCTTCCTCATCCTTTTCAGGTATCCGAGCCCTTAGCAACATTGCTTGTTCCATTAAGATTGATGTGTACATTCAGAATTGGATTATTATGTGACTTAATGTGAACTGGTATTACAATGTTACTTCTTAAGACATTTACAGTATTTGTTTTAGTTTAAAAAAGATTTGGCAATACATTTTTTTAAACATAGTAAAATGTTCACCACATCCAAGTCAATCACAGACACACACACACACACACACTCATCCATGTGCCAAGCTTACCAGAAGCCAATTAACTTACCAGTAGGTCTTTGGACTGTGGGATCGAGCCCTTGTGACAAGGTGAATGTACACATTTCTTGCAGATACCAACTCAGGTCTGGAATGGGACCCAGGGCCTCAGGGCTGTGAAGTAGCAATAAGCACTGCACCAAAGTGACCCTCCCCACCTACAACAGCTACTAATAACCACCAATGTTATTTAATTTGCCCTTCGAATGCCAAACATTTATTTGTAAATTGTAGTAAAATTGTTATCAAAATGCATTGATACAGTTACAATCACTACCTGCTTACCATTGTATAAACCAATGGCATAGAAATTCATTTAAGTAGAATGATTTTCTTGGTTGGGCTCTGCTGAGTGTTCATGGTGTTCTATGCTGTTTTACCAGCAGACGTCAGTATCACCTACTTTAGGGTTACATTATTGGACAGACACCCTCATAAACATCCTCATTTTCACTACACAGCAAACAACAGTAGAAATTACTTTGCAGTATATATAAAGAGCAAAATACTTTTTAAAAATACATTGAAATAAATTGTATCTCTTTTTCAACATATTTAGCATAAAATGTTATATAATGTCATAAATATTGTATAATAGTATAAATTCAGAGAAAATACTGCACTGTATAATTTCACGAATACAATCTTTATTTCATAATGCAGTCCAACACACTGTATTAAAATAATGTATATAATAACATATTTGGAAAAAAAACTTATTTTGAATGTACAACTTAATGCCTTAAAACTTTTAGACAGTCATTTTCTTGAAATTTTCAAGGTAGTCACAAACCTAAGACTAAATCATTCACTATACAACAGGGGTAACAGGGTTATTCAAGCCCAAAGGAATGTAATCACTGATCAGCAGAAGACAGATAAAAGACACTGGATGGCATGTAAGAGACACACCATTTGTCCACCATGAGTTTTTCCATACTATAAACCTCCTAATTAAATGTCTGATTTGAGTTGAACAGCATGCTGAACCCCTCTTCTTAGGTTTTAACAATTTTCAAAATGTCATTCATCCATCCATCCACTCACTTTCTAACAGCTTCCTCCAATTTATGATTGTCGGGGAGCTGAAGCCTATCCAGGAAGCAACAGGCGCAAGGCAGGGTACAGGCATGGTCTATTAATAGACGCTAATCCATCTCAGGGTAGACAGACACAAACATAGATACAAACATACTCACACCTTGAGCCAATGTTCTCAGAAGCCATTTAACCTACCAGTATGTCTTTGGATTGTGGGAGGAAACCCACACAAACACGGGGAGAACATGCAAACCCCATGCAAACAGCACCTGAGGCCCAGAAAACACTCACCCCTGGGAGAAGCAGCAATGCTATTGATGAATTGAAACCTGAATTGGATGAAGCAGTTATAAAATGGATAGATGGATCAAATTTACCTACCAAAGGGAAAGAGTTTGATATAAGTTCCTTAAATGAGGAATAACAAGGACACCCAAATATGGAAGCTGTCCCTGAGCCTATTTGAAGGGTAATTTTATTTTAAGATTCTCCAACAGAGAAGGCAGACATTAAAAATACTGCAATAAAAGTTTATTGAAGAAAAACTAAATTCACGTACAGTACGAAGGTCAAAACTGCAGGAATGGATACTTCAGGTTTGTACTTGATTAAAGGGTATCATCAGCATAAAGTCATATTTTATGCTGTACCCCCCCAATCTGGACACTACATATCATTAATTGACTTTCTAGACTCTGCAGGAGGTTTTATTAGAAAGGTTACATGGATGCTGAGGAAGTTAAATGGCAGCCAAACAACTTGAATGAATTATGGAAAGTGTGGTAGAATAATACTCCACAGTCTTTAATTGATTAACTTCATGGGAACAAAGATGCACGAAAACAAGTTCCTGAGCTCCAAAACAGGTTTTACGCCAAAAATTAATGTTCTGAACAATTATTTTATTTTATTTTCTTATGAATTATGCTTTTGTCTGTACATATTTGTTTTATATTTTTTGCATTATACAGTATAAGCACTTCATCTTCTGTTACCCTAAATACTTCCAATATTAAATGTTGGCATGTTCTAAAATGATTTTCTTAATTAAATTTCTCCAACTAACACATTTCCACTCTTATCTGTCAGCACTTTTCTGAGTCAGGGTTTAAACCAACACAAGTATTCTGTGTTGTCAGTCATGTCTAATGCAAATGTCTCCTTCACAAAACTAACCTGAGTTGTACAGTTTTTGAAAGAATTATCACACATATATTTTTTGTTTCTCCTTTTGCAATTATTTTGACATCAAAATTTAACAAGGAAATTTAGTCAAACTAAGCATTTGAAACTGTTGAAGTAAGTACAAAAATAAAGCGTGGCTTGAATTATGAAGAAAAGTAAACTCTGTAAACTCTTCTGCTGGAAATCCATCCAGTCCTGGGCATTAATTAGATCTGATAGCTTGTAAAATCTCACTGCAACATCTATTTTTTTATAAATCTAACTATAAATATTTGCACCGGAACATTATGTCTGATTTAACGTAAATTTGAGCAGATGCAGAAGTGCTCTCTCACTGAGATTATTGTAAAGTAACATAATGTATTTTACTGAGGGCTAATTTAAATACCTCATTCAGTTTATTCTTTTTTAAGATGGATGTGCTGGATGTGCTTCTGAATCCAATACAAATGTATATCAAGGTGCTTGTCAAGAACCTTAGGTTGCACAGTACTGTGCAATAGGACATGTGTAATACACAACAAAAGCAAAAATAAAGAATAAATTCACAAAACAAATTGGTGGTGCAGTGGTCAGCGGTCAGCATGGCTGCCTTGCAGCACTGGGAACCTGGGTTCAGTTCTAGACCTGGAATGGTATCTGTGTGAAGTTTGTAAAGTAAGTTCTCCTTGTGTTTCCTCTGGGTGCACCAGCTTTCTGTCACAGCCCAAAGACATACTGGTTGGTTAATCAGCTTCTATGAAAACTGACCCTTGTGTGACTGTGAATATGTTAAATCTGGGTGGGTGAATCTGAAGTATCCCTGGACTTTGGGATATTTTGGTGGGTGTGTGCTTTGGGATCTGTTGGTGGGTGTGTGCTTATCCAATGCCAAAACGCTTGTTCATTTCTTAATAATACATTTAACAAAATTATATGTCCCAGACCTTTGAGAATAATATTACACAAATATTTCTGTATTATTGGTGGGGGTAGTAGTAGGAGGAGTAGGAGTAGTAAAAGTAGTGCTGTTGATGAATAAGAGAATCCGTATGGATTATTGTTGAAGTAAGTGTTATTCCACATTATGACCGCTTGAGGCAGTTGTATCGGGAAATATGACCTCGCTTATGTTGTTTTGTCTATGCGAGCTTTCTTTGTTCAGGAGGCAGGCCATTTCTCCTCCTTCAGACTACAAAGTCAAACGCCGATGAGAGCTCGGATTTCAGCCAGTCCGTGTAATCTAGTGTGGATAAAATGATTTTTGCGGTGGCTGTTTGAATATGGCTATGTCAAGAGGACTACGATGCTGCCAAAGGATTTTCTCTTGGATACCCGTGATTATTATTACAGCGGTGGTGGTGTGGTCTTATTACGCTTATGTTTTTGAGCTGTGTCTGTGTAAGTAGCTTTGTTGTTAATGTTAGATCTGCATAAAATAGCACTCAGGAAGTACTGGGCAGATGAACTGTAGTAGTGTAACCAGTAGTTGTAAGATTCGCGTTAGATTCTCCAGCCTGACTTAATGAACAACTATTTATTTTAAAATATATGTGTTTTAATTTGTATTTTATTTGGAAAGAATAAATGTGAGTTAGTTTTATACGTCTAGTAACCACTGTACAGACCTTACTCTTGATCTGCAGGAAGCTTTGTTTATTCTGTGATATTTTCTTTTCTGTTTAATATATTTAAAAGTTCAGCTTTTTAGAACAACTATGGCTTACAGTTTAATCGACCTATTTATACAATTACACAACGTTCGTGATGGAAAGTGATTTCTGCTCTACGCAAACACGTACAGTAGCTGTAGCTGAGTCTGCTGTTACTAGTTCCTGTTTCAGTCACATACAGTATCATCGAAAGTTGATTTCTGGAAATTGCTGGAGATTTTTATATAAGAATGTTGTTATGGTTTTCTCGTTATTTTCTTTCTCTTCATTATATGTTTGCAAGTGAACCATTTTCATATCTTAAAGGTGTTCGTTTGACTAAAATAGTTCTGAGGATTTTAAAATGTTTATTTTTTAAAGGTAATCTATGGTGACTAATACCTGATTTGTTCAGCTAATTGGTTCTATTTCTTCACAGTTACGCTCGACAACACTCTGGAAAAAGGTAAGCCGTGTGATTGAATGCAACTGTTTTGAAACCTGTTTTGAAAGCTATCAGTTCATTAATTCATCTGGTGATCCTGACTAGTAAAGGTATTTAATGATATTGTATACTGATATTATTCATGAACTATATAACTTACTGTATCTTGGATAAGAGTTCCCGCTAATCAATACCATTTTGGTTATTATAAATAAAATGTGCCTAATGCCTTTATCTAGTGTCACTATATTCTTTAAGATTATGCAGTGTAATATTAAATATTTTAAAGAATGGAATTAAAATACAGTGCAAGATACATTATGGACATAAATAGTTGTTAATAATTTCTAATAGATAAGCCTAAATGGTAGAAATGCCTGTTACCAAAGTAATCAGTAAAACGTCATTGTGGTTTTTTTTTTTTGTTCAGTTGAAATATAATCATGATAAAGCAGAAATTAAACTTGATCTTCTGTTTAATGCATGACATTTTTTAGCAGTTTGGCTGATTCATGATCACTTCTCCCTTGTGGATGTGGAACTGCATTTTGTCATAGGTTAGAAATGACTGACCTGCCTGGCATTGTGGATGATAAAGTTACAGGATGCCTATTTGTAACTTAGCGATGATCTCATTTTCAGTCACCTACCTTGGACTGTTCCATGTCTGTTTTGTGATGTTTTCCTGGACCTATTGGAAGTCCATCTTTACACCACCGTCTCAGCCATCAAAGAAGGTAGTATTATGGAGAATTATTTATGGGTAATAATTAATTATGCATTACATTTATGTATAGAAATATAGATGTGGATATAAAATGTATTTACAATTATTAAAATATAATACAATGCATAAATATAAAATATATTATAGATTATACTGTATATAATTCATTATATTCAATATAAAATTATATTGGCACCAGTATAACCCAAAAAGCCTTAGCGAAGAACATGTAAATGAGTACACTTTCTCGGTTTCAAACCGAGACAGGAGACAAGTGAAATTGTGGGGCAAACTAGCTGATCTGCTCTGTGAATGTCTGTGGTTTCAGTTAAGATGGTGGGGCAGGAGAGGTGGAGGATGATGATAAGGCGAGGGTGATAAAATCTGATCGTGTATATATAGTATGTAATAAAGATACTATGAAAGAGAAAGAGCAAAAAGTGTTTTATTTAATGAAGTACAGATCTCAGTCAGCAGGTACAGAGAAGCTGTACAAATGAAAGGATCTGACATTTTTTTGAAAATCTAAGCAAAAATTGTTTGCTTACCAGCCCTCAGCTCGATGCTGATCTTAATTTCAAGCCATACCTCGCCAAAAATATTGAAATGGTGATTTTGAGCACCTGGTATAATGGGGAATGTTGTCAGGTGGGGAAACCATTGTTAATGCCAAGAATTGTCATTTAACCTCGCGTCCTGAGGACATGTGCAGCCCAGCTGACCACAGTGTTTACAGACATCTTTAACTCCTCCCTGTCACAGTCCATGGTCCCCACCTGCT